GAAATATACAATTCAATAAATAAAATTGTGGTCATAAAATAAATAAATTAAAAATGTTTAATGTAATGTTTCAAATTTAAAAGACCTGTAAAAATAAATTTTATAAAGTACAAATGAAAATAAAGCCTTTTTAAACTTTTGTATGGTAGAACCAGAAGCTGCTCTTCATATTAGTGACAAACTTTGACTTTTTTTGATGGGCTACCTTTATTTTTGCCTCCATTTTTCATTTAAAATAAGTTTCCATTTTCGGCAGTTTTCTAAGGTTCTTCTTCTACATATTAAAAAGTTGTTAAACATCTGAGTGGTGCACTACTGCTACTAGTGGTGAGAAAGTGTATTACACCTTATTTAAAATCAATGTGGTCCCACGGCCCTCTGTGGCCCAAAGTTAAAAACTGTTGTTCTTTTGAGGCCCTCAAGGTGGTGCTCACGGCCCATGGGTTAACAATCTTTGGAATAGACCACATTCAAGATGGCCGCCACAGCTAAGCAACCTTAAGAAACTCAGAAATGTCTTGTTGTAGGTGAAAATCATCTTACAGTTACATGAGACCACTCATTGTTTACAACTCTTCACACTGCTGTGAGAAACATCTGAACATGCTCAGAGCTTACTGTCTGCATGTTCTACAAATACATTCAACCAGATAAATACAACAAAATATCACAAACCAACATATTTCATGATTCAATGATCTACTTCTGTCGTTCTTCAGGAGTGGTTCATCAATGAGAAACGACAGGACGTGTTTGGAATGAAGCTTCCTACTGGTTTCCAGCTCATTGGACAAGTGGTTGGTACTCTGGTCCTGGACCTGTCCCTGCTTTAACAGCTTACAGAGACACACTGAGGCTCAGCAAAGCTTTACCAGCAAGTCAAACGGTTCAAACTTCTCAGCTTTATTTACTTTGTACATCTTTGTAGTTTTTTTTTAGAGATTTTGAATTTTTTAGTTGGCAGTGACAGTATTTAACTAGTACTGTCCTGATACAAATACTGGTATCTAAGGCCTATACCAGCATTTTTACAAGTACTTGTACTCTCACAAAATGCCCCATTACCAGAGATAGGTAGTAAGTAGTTATGTATGTTACTCAGTTACATTTAAGTAGCTTTACAACACCATACTTTTTATTTTAATTGAGTAATATTATTTTGAAGTATTGCTATTATGACTTTTACTAACATTTTTGCAATACTCACTGTAAGTAACTTCACTAAATGAATAACAAACGTGTTTTAACTAGAAATGCACCAGAGAGCAAGACCAGCTTTAACCAATGTGGAGCCCCGCCCCCATGTTCAGCTTTAAATCTCACTGCCAGTTTACATCCATTCACATAAACTAAATAGTTTAGTCTTTGATATTATTTTTAACCAGGTTATCTAATTAAAATAGTTAACAAAATAATTAATTCAAAACAGAAAACCAGAAGTCGGCCTCACACCTGCAAACATTTAATGACATCCTGAGGAACAGCTGTTCATGTTAACCAGCAGCTGTGGACTGAAGCAGCTCTAGGGGGGTCC